GCACCCGCGAATTCACTTGCCTTTGCTGGGGAGCACGAAGAGGCGGAAAATCCTCCGTCCTGAATGATGGGGTTTTGTCCTTCTTGCGTCCTGGTTGATTGTTGCTTGACGCCAGCTTTCGGATGCGTTTGAAGTCCTCGCGTTTGGAGCACTGTCTGTCAGAGCCTTGATGTGCACCACCACAGTTAGCGCATTTTATCGCCACGGCTCCATCCGCAGGACAGTTGGAAGTGGCGTGTTCTTGAGCGCAGTTGCTGCAGCGTGGCTTGATGTTGCAGTTGCGGGTACCGTGTCCAAAATTGAGGCACCTCTGACACTGCGTTACGTCACGATGGCCGCCACGGTATGGCTCCCACCGTACGATGATGGAGTAGATCGATCGGATGGCTTGTAGCGCATTGAGCGTCACCGTCCCTTTCTGGAAGTGCACCAGGAAAAGACAATCCGGGTACGTCTTCACGTTTTCATCTCTCCTTGTCATTCGGAAGACAGCGATTGGGGCTAGCTTGTACCGGTTGATTTCGGCTTCGACCATCTTGGGGTCGAAGTTTGGTAGACCCCTGATGACTACCTTGAAGGGCTTCTCACCGGGGATGTCGTGCGTGAAGAATTCCGCCTTGGTATCCTTCAGATATTTCACGGCCACTTCGTACTCCGCTTTTGTTCGGAGCATCACCTTGGTGCCGATCCTGCCGAGCTTAAACTCAGCTGCAACGCCCAGCGATGAAAGATCGCCAATCAGCGTGTTGAGTGGGACTTGCTTCACCACCAGTGGAGGAAGCTTCATTTTTGCTGCACTCGGGCTGGCAGCAGTTTCGTTGTCGATGGCGTCGCCGAAATCACCAATGACGCTGACGTTCGTCGCGGTGGCATCGTCCCGTCCACTCGCACCATCGGACTGGCCTTGATTTTTCTTCCTCTTCTTAGACCGCTTCACCGTGGCTGAGGTGGGATTCCCTACATCGGTGGGAAGAGTAGCGTACCTATTCGAAATAGGTACACTCAAGCTACCCTCACCGCTGTTCTTCTTCTCCGTTTTCTCTCGGAGCCTGCTCCGGGAGCGCTGTCTTCCCATCACACGAAGCGACCGACACTACTGACGACGCGATTAAACTGCGAATGTTTGGAACAAACTAGAAACTTTAGAACAACTCGACAGAGCGAGCAAAGACCGAACTGTACTGCTTGACGTTCAAGCAGAGAATGATGAGCTGAATGATGAAGCAGAATGATGTGCAACCAAGTGGTATAAAAGCTACAAAGACTCCCCCCATTATGAGTAGATTGCTATCAAGTAGCGACACTGGCTCTTTTCCTTTTGCGTACACGGCGAATGAGAACGACCCAAATTTGAGTTTAGTTCACAACGGCGCCGGTGGTGTAGTAGTATGCGTGATTACCTCTCACCCCAACAGGCCTGGGTTCAATCCCAGACGGCGCCGCCGGGATGTTCTGAGGCATAACATCTCTGATCACGCCTTCCTTCGGAAGGAAAGTAAAGCAATTGGTCCCCGGTTCATGATTTGATGGGTCGATAGGTAGGGTCCAGGTGTGGGAGCTGCCTTCCTGGCACGTCGGTAGCATTGGTGCTCAGCACGGAAAACAAGATCGACGGAAAAAACAAACCAAAGGAAAAAAAAAAAGAGTTTAGTTCACTCATAATCGCCAAAAGTGCAGGAACTCAACGATGAGTAAATTTGTCTCATGGTTTCCTGTGGAAAACCTAAAAAATCTGCCAGAAAATGAGGAAATTGACGAAAATTTTATTCAGTCTCGGAGTAGTATCAACAATCAATACGAAACTATCGATTTTAAATTGGCTCACTACTTGACTAGCCTGTTGGTCCCAAGCAAACGATTAACGTACCCCATTCTAGTCGAAATTCTAGTTCTACGCAATGTTTGTTTTGATTCGCTATGAAAGCTTGACAGATAAAATGAGAGGTTATTGGTTTTTCCTATGTTTCGAGGGGGGAATTTTCTCCTGGAAAATCCTGGAAAACCTGGGAAAACATGAGGCAAATTTACTCATCGCTGAGTTCCTGCACTTTATTTCTTATTTCTGAGATAACTTAACTCAAATTAGGGTCGTTCTCATTCGCCGTGATATCACCTTGAAAGATATCGGCGCCGGTGGTTAGCGTGATTTGCTCTCATACCAGCAGGCCTGGGCCCAATCTCAGAAGTAAAGCCGTTGGTCCCCGGTTGAGTTGAGGGGTCGATTGGTAGGGTCCAGGTGTGGGAACTGCCTCCCTGGCGTCGGTAGCATTGGAGCTCAGTACGGAAAACAAATCTCGCGTCACTCTTCAATAGGTCCTATCTACATTGATCGATTCTCTTCATCTACACTCTCTTTCGTAAATAGGTCGGCTTCACAAATCCGTCTTCGTTGAATTAAATGCTACACGTAAACCAAAAATCTATTACAATGAATGTTAGTTCCGTTTTCTATCATCCTCTGTTCATGAACATCGCAACGAATGTTAGAAATTGACCATGCAGGCGATGTAATGGTTTTTCGTCATTTTATTTCGTGTTCTATCTACGCTTTCGACTATACCAGTAAGCTTGCAGAACGACGCACATTGTAGAACATTGTAGAACGACGCACACACTTGCCTCCAATCTCTCCAGCAGAAAAAGCATACGAAGTCGAGTATGCGAGAAAATGAGCACTTGCATGTTTGCTTTTAGGCTAGCCATATTCAGATGCAGTGGAGAAAACACAGGTCTGATAATCGCAACGTTCGTGGTTCGAGTCCAGTCGGCAATCTGTTTCCAATTTTTTTCGACATAACTAATTTACCTCACTAATACACTCTACATTTTTCGGTCTCCAATTATCTTGCATTGGACCGCAGCTAGGTAAATCGCATCCTCGGTTCATGCGGTCTCCACTAAAATCCTCTGATGATGAATCCCACATCCAGAATCAGCGAATCTTACATCCCCCGGTTGGGTGTAGATTGTTGCTTCTTCCATCGAAAATATCCGGCAGTGGCGATTCAAAGTTGATCAAGGTTGATCATAATAATTTGTACCCCTGCTTCCAGTTTGATTACATGAGCATTTTGTGTGGTCGTTGGTTCTGAATATAAACAAACAGGCAGATGAATTTTATTCCTACTCTTTACTGTAATAAGCTTGGTGGCCCTGAAAAGAGCCGTTTTGTTGCCAAACTTGGTGATGATTTAACCTCCGAAACCAAACAGAGTGCGTCTCTGTCGCTTCAAAACGTAGATTACATCCATGGTCGCTTACGCTTGGCGTGTTTAGTGTAATGAGTGTGCAAAATATTACGCAATTCCATCCTCCCTATTCGCATGCGCCCGAGGATCGGAGGCGAATTCACTTCAACTTGTTTCGTCTACTTACTACTCTCTGATGACTGTGCTGGGGAAGCAGCATATGCAAGTAGGTCATTGGTGGATTTGTTAGGTAATTCGACGCTTTTGGACAGTGCAGGACATTTACCAGTTTTTCAATAGTTTCTTGTTGAAAATCAACATTCGGAAGCATTGTCGATGCGTAGTCATATTTCTGATCTATTGGTGATACAATTATTGAAATTGGACCAGGGGCAGGTGAGTTATTAACGTTCAAAATCTTTCTTAATTTGTTACATGTTCCATTTTCGGTTTTCACAAAGTGTACCCCCATATAGAAATCAAAGACGTATATCAAAAAAAAAAAGGTATTCGTCTTCAACTTGGTGGAGCTGATATTGAGGATCAGATGCAAAATGATTATTTTCATTTTACACAAATACAGCAATACAGCAAGGACGTGTTGTAATAGTTTTTACTCACAAACCGATGGCAAATTATTGCCTCATGCTGAACTGATGATAAAATCCCTGTTTTAGGCTCTAGAGTCGATAAAATTCAAAATAATAGTTTTGCCCAAAATGAATTTGGTTATATTGCTTTTGAGGATCATTTCTGATTTTGGAAAATATCAACAAACGCGTATTCGTTGATGTATAATGAACTCATTTGTTCATTTCGCTCTTACATAACAGCAAAGACTTTCAAAACAAACGCAATTCATCTACACTGGGTTGAAGCGCTACTCCTTGCGTGTGATGATAAATGATAAAAACAGGCACTGGTTAGGATTCTATTACAAAAAAGTAATGACAAAGCACCAAAAGAGCGATCCATTACTGCTGCAATACATCCAAAAACCAGTCATACAAAGGTTAATTAATCTGTTATAGAACATGTGTGTTGCTTGGATAGTCACCAAGATTGTGGTCATCTCACTAGCGGCGCAGAATAAAGGGGAATGCACTAAAAATAGCCATCTGCGGAAGAACTTTCGGATTCACATATTTGCCCAAACAATACTTATTTTGAACATTTTATTACGCAATAATCTCTTTAAACCTCGTATATAAATATCCTCTCGGCTTATTGTCTAGTTTAAGGAAATCCAATCTACCAACATTCGCGGTTCTCTTACTCTGCTCAACTTTCACATAACCTCTAAAACAGTCTCCAATAGATTTTCTCTCAATTTGTTATTTTGTCATTTTCCTCTCCCTTTGTCAGCAGTCACCGGGCGACACGGTAAACGCAAATTATACACGTTCGCGCTCGAAGCCTTAACCCTAATAAAATTTGAAATACATACACGAAAAGCGAGACACCCATATCGGGCAGCCCAAGTCCCAATATTTACACTCGCACACCGTTTCGATCGCCGTGGCCGCGCAAAAGCTCGTAAAAATTAGCCAAGGTACATATTTTCAGCCAACTAAAACACTTAAAACTAAGAACCTTAAAGATAACGAGATAGAGCCGGTGGTGTTCGTCGGAACGGACGCGTGGTTGAATATTTATGAACTAACTTGTTTTTTTTTTTATCTATGGGCCAAACTATGCAAGTACAGGGAAATTATGCATTTTTTTTTCGATCGCCTCCTATCGGTTCGCCTCGTGCTGGTGAGGGGGTGTGGGTTAATTATGATTAATTTATAGGGTTTTTTTTTCTCTCTCTCTCTCAGTGCATCCGACTCATGTCCAGTCCCCCGAGCTGGCCAAAGTAGGGATAGCCGGACTTTGCTTCGGCGGCGGCTGCCGCGGCCGCCGAGTACGGATGGTGCGGGTGATGCGGGTGGTGATGGTGGTTCATGTTGTTCGAGAAGAATGAGCTGTGAACGGAACGGGAAAATTGAGGGAGTGTTGATTAGAGGTTTTTCGTTTTGTTTTAAAAGGGAAAGTTTGTTTGGCATGGAGGAGGTGTTAATTAGTTGACACTTACCTATAGGCGTCCCATTCGGTGGTGGCTTTGTTGTGGGTTGAGTGTGATGAGCGCCATTGCGATGCGGAGTTGTCGATCGCGGTGGATGAGTTGGTGGTGGTGTTGGTGGTGGGGTAGGATCCGGCTGAGGTGTAAGACTGAGAATTGTCCAGCATGGGAAAGTAGTTGTAGTTGGACGAGGACGTTTGTTGGGATGCGGGGGAGGATGAGGAGATGCCGTTGGTGGCGGGAGTGATTTGGTTGTGGGTAGGGCTGATTGAGGTTGGGGGGCTGAGGGAAGCTGGTGGGCTCATGGTAGCCGAGGTTGGGTGGATCATGGTTTGGGCCAATGGGTTGTAGGCCGTTTGGGATGCGGCGTGGATGGAGGTTTGGTTGGCTGGTGGGTAGCAGGCTTGGCTCCAGGATTGCATGCCCGATGGGAAGCCGGCGGAACTGGATGTGGCAGAGGCAGCGGCTGCTGCAGCAGCTGCGGAAGCAGCAGCTTGATGTTCATACTGAGCAGGATACTGGGAGTTGAATGCCGCCAGCTGTTGGGAGTTCATGTGCTTGCGCAGACGAGCTCGACGGTTCGAGAACCAAACCTGAACGCGAGCTTCCGTAAGTCTGGTCTTCTGGGCCAGTTCTTCCCGGGTGTAGACATCCGGGTACTGAGTCCGTGCGAACGCAACCTCCAAGGCTTCCAGTTGTTCACCGTTGAAGGTAGTTCTGCACCGTCGCTGTTTTCGCTTCAACTCGATCCCCGGTTCAGACTCCGTATCGCTATCGTCATCACAGGAAGATCCGCCCAGGATCCCATTGATGGAGTGATTTCCACGTCGATCATCGTCCGGACGTCCACCGCGCAGCAACCGACTGATCGAGCTCACTGACGGGGCGGAGTTCTTATCGCATATGCCCTCTTTGATCAGCTTATCGCGAATCTCCCAGCTGAAAATCCCCGGATTAGCCTTGCGCATCTCCTCGATCTTGGTTTCGATCTCCGGCGTCGAAACCCGGGGCTTCGATCCTCCGATGACGCCCGGCCGGATCGATCCCGTCTCCTGGTAGCGATTCAGGATCTTCGACACGCATCCGTGCGAAACCCTCAGTTGCCGGGAAATCACGCACGGCCTGACGCCAGCCGCCGCCAGTTCGACGATCTTCAACCGAATGTGATTGGGCAGGGGGCGCCCGTTGATGAACACTCCTCCGAGCTGGTTCACACGACCCTGGCCTGCAAAAAAAACGAAATGGAAAAGAATCGAGAATCTCATTAGGCGAAACCTGTTCACAAATTTGTACCAAGCGCGGGTGGTCGGGACTTCAAAGAGGGCCGGGCCTCGTTCGAAAAATAGATCCATTTCTCTTGCTTTTTCGGGTCGGGCCTTTTGCGTCGTGTCATTCCGGCGGGGTGTCACATTGTTGTGTCATCCGAATTGTGTCCGGCAGAGAAGACGAAGAAAAATGGGAAGCGACGAGAAAAGGGACCTGGGATTAGGATCTTGTAATGAGGCGGTCCGAGTATTGTTCGCCGCCGCTGTTTAGGAGTTGAAATTGAAGGTTTAGGAACGTTCAATTGATCGTGGGTGATCGATCAATTGCGGAGGGCAATTAGATTGTCACTTTCGAGCGGGTTGATTAATTTTCAGCGTGTTGGAGAACGAGGTGGTGGATGGTGATCGTGGTGATTCATTTTGATTAAAATCTTGCTGCGGCGGCGGCTCGCGATCTTTGATCGCGCGCGGTCGCTCAATTTTCGTTTTCATCTTCTGCGGTTCGTTGGGCGAGGAAGTTCTGAGCCGTCCCGGTGCCATGTAGTGGATTAAAATCCGACTGTTTTTTTGACACCAGAACCGGTTTGGCAGAGGTGCGCGGTCCGCAGAACAGAGCGATGTCATTTGTCAACCGAATCGTGCCCGGAAGATTCCTGAGGACGCCACCAAATAAGGTCTCGACTGTCACGTGGATCGGCGAGGATCACGATCGGTTCGTGACTAATACGGTCGACGCCACGCATCGAAGGTCAGACCCATCAATCATCGAGCAACTTGGAAGATCTTAGGACGTTCCGAGGAACAACAAAGTATCCTGAGCGGACGCGTCCGAACGTGTCGACCTTGGCTCCGTATTTGATTACACTTCAATTAGGCGCGATTTGCAATTAATTATTCTCGCAACCGTGCCGTTGGTTGGGTGCCTTCAATATCTCGGCCGGGGCTGGGCGAAGCGAAACAAAATACCGAAACGATCATTAGGCTACTGTTCGGGTCCGCCAGTGAGTGCGAGTCCAAAGATGGGATTCAGCCCTCCTGGGGTTCATTTATCATTCCGTTGCGGCGGAATTCGCGCGAAGGCAAGGAGAAGGGGGACACGCAGAGAACGGATGGTAGCTTAATTAGAATTTAATGGTTTTTTGGAGCTCGGGTGGATTCCAGTGGATGGCAGGTATTCAAATTCCAATGAATTGTAGTTTTCGGGGTTTTCAGCGTGAAAATGCTACACACCCGGAAGGTCACGATCGGTAGCGATCGTCTTGCGTTTGCTTCAAGGAGCTTGGCGAAAAACAAAGACGACTCGATGCGAGTGCTTTGTTAGCGCGTTCTTCAAACGATCCTCATGTGATCTCGTTTTACTTTTTATGTTTTTATTTATTTTCTTTTTCTGAGGAAGCAGTAAATTAGATTTGCTGCCCGACGTGTGTGATCTCGAATCCCTGAAGGGGATTATAATTTGGAATATTGTTATTTGCACTTTCGTGGTTGGTTCCCGCAGGAAATTGCTCAATTGAGGTGATGTTTTCGGCCAGAACAGATCGGTTGTTGGCACATCCAGGTAGAACTTCCCGATTCTCTCGAAGTCTTGGAATCGGCTCAATCTCGATCGGACGATGATGAATGTGAATAACATGTTTACACGTTGTATATTAAAATCTAATTATATGGTGCAGTTTGCAACGCCTTTCTGCGGGCATGATCGTGGTGCAGGGTGCGATCGAGCGTCGATCGAGCGATCGATCGATCGATCAATTCTGCAAGCAAGATCACGATGTTTGATTTCGATTTTCCCTCACTGCTGCGCTATAATTAGACGCAGCAGCACTCGATCATTACCTTAAGAAGTTCGCCAGCGATGGGCCGCGGAGTAGCTCGAACCATTGGAAATCAATCACCTGATCGTGGCTCTTAAGATTCAACTCCACAGTGCGGAGAAGAAATTGAATTAGTGACCTATAAATCAGTCCTCGATCAATGAACGAAGCGTATGTGTATGTGTGTGTGTGTGTGATCATCAAAGGTCCATAAATTCCTCGAAGTCAACCCTTCGCAGCAACGAACGTGTTGAAAAGATAAATGATCCTCTTTGTACACATGGACACATGTGTTGCTGTTGGTGTCGTTGTCGGCATTCCTTGAACAGCCAGCCAGCCAGCCGCCCATCTGGTCGATTTCGGCAATTTGATTAAATTTTGCTCGCTCGTTGCCCGCCTCCACCGCAGACCAACCGACCGACCGGCCTAGACGGCGATCACAGCGATCAATTGATTAAAATGTACGTCGTCGCCCGGGTCCGGAACGCGCCGCCGGCGGCGGTACTTTATCATATAAATTGATCATTTAGTTTATAAATATATTAAACATCCATATAAATTATTACATTAGGAGGTTCCTCCGGGGACCTCGGAGATCGAGAGTGAATCTGGCCAGGACGTGCTCAACTCGGCGAGAAATTTTCGACGCGATTTATTCTCACTGCACTTTTGCCCAAAGATCACGATCCTCCTCGGAGCTCCCTTCGCGCGAAGAGCGTGGAGGTAATAAAATATTTCCAATGCCATTACATTATCATTATCGGGCATCTCGGGGATCCAGGGAGGACCACGCGAAACCGGTGAGCGGCCGAGGGTGTTGGGTTATTGTTGAAAACAGGAATTACTGAAAATAAGATCAAAGGCAGTTTGCCGCCCACCATACTGCGCGCGATCATTCTCGATCGCGCAGCCGTGATGATATGGTGGGAGGGACCGCCGAGAGCCCCCACGGTCAGAGCCGGGATCAGCACTCAAATTTTGTAATAAAATATGTGCGCGCTTGCATCACTTGCGAGAATGAGGAAGATCGGTGGAAAGCGAAGTGCGCGAAAAATGCGCGCCAGCGTGTCTGGGAGTGCGCTCGTCGTTGCACATGTATGCACTTTCCACACCACAGGCCGGGAGGAAGATTCTGGGCAGCGAAGGCGATGAATCTTGAATTTTAATGACTTTTGAGCTGAGAAATTTTCTGGACGAGTGAGGCGAGTGCTTGGTACTAGCAGGGACCTTTGAATTCACGTTCAAGTTGTGAGCCACACTGACAATCTGTCGATTTGCTACTTAGAGTCTTGAACAAATTACATGTTCTCATCATGGATTGAAACACAAGATCTTCTAGCCCAAAACAGAACATCGGATCATCCTGTTCGATCTACTCAATTTCAACCGTGCAATCAAGCGTACGAATTTTGCATTTCCAGCTAAAAATTCACGCAAAATTGCATTTCCATACTTCCAAAATGCACTCAACCCGGTAATAAGCTTATCTTAATCCCCGATCTACAACCATCCCAACACCCGATAGGATCTGTGTGTCCCTTTCGAACGATCGCGCGCACACACACACATCCAAAAGCAGACTCAAACAGACCCAAAAGACTAATTTAATCCTCTTTCCCAGTCGGGCGCTTCTTCGGCTCACAAAGAAAACCATCCAGTCCACTTCCCGAGTCCCGAACAATAACCAAACAATAACATATTTACAATCATTAATCTTGTTAGCCCCTTGCCGAGCGCGAGCGATCCTCCGTCGGCTCGGTCCCTTTGATATCCAAGCGATACCTTCTGTTGCCACAATTGCTTCTCGCCTCCAGGACCAACTTTCCCCCGTCGAAATCGAATTCAACGCCCCCTTCTCGGATCCTTTTTTCCCTTCGCGGCTCCGCAAGGATCAAACTTTCTCACCTAGCACCCAACCTAGCGCATCATCGCTATGATTTATGATCCCAGAAGCGATAAATGATCAACATGTGGCTTCGCCTGGCTCTTGACCAACTGTTATTACCGCGTGAGAAACAAAACCCGACCCCGCCGACGGCTCTTTGATTGAACGATCATGACTTATCGTAAACTGCGGCTTCGCCACTTACCTTGAAACGGGTATCCGGAGAAGATCGGCGACATGTTCAAGCTCGCCACTGCCATTCCGGCGTCGAAATCGTTTATTCGCTCCAACTTGATTGTTCTTCGAATGCAAACACTTGCTCAACAGTTCTTCCAATTGTCCCTTATCACCTTTTGCCACTCAACTTCCGTCTGTCGGTAAACAGTCCCAATCAAACACTCTTCGCTTCTCGATTTCAACTCAAAATCCGAAATCAAAATAAACAACCACTTTTCACTCCACCAGCTCACTTGACTGCTACTGACACTCTCCCACTCCTTCCTTAATATTTTTTATTGCTGGAAATTGTTTTCCTTCCACCCTAAAACGTCAGTCTTTCCGAGAGAGCGATGTTTCTCCTTGAGACGTTAGCACCTTACTGACTGTGAAAGGCACCCGCTCGGCAGGTTCTTTACTCCGATCGCTTCGGTTGTTTTTCCCTACGTGTTGTGCCTTCTTCTCTTCCATCACCATTCTCGCACGGTTCTCTCGAACCCTAAACTCCGTATGCGAGTTTGGCCACGCCTCCCATCGTTCACCATTCTTTCCACTTCCCTCATTCGCACTGCTTCGCGATCTTCCATTGCTGCACGCTGCATGCACTCGAATCGACCAAGTCGATCATCGTCGCTCTCGGTGCGCTCCGATTGGTTCGATCTTTGCCTTGCACCAACACAGACGACGCTTGAGGTTGGCTGAGGAAATTAAAGAAAAACCTTTTAAATTGCTAATAATAAAATGTCACCACCACCACCAGCAGCGAGTCGGGAGGGCGAAGGCGACAAATCTCAATGATGATCGATGTTCTCTTATCAGTTGTTAGAGCGGTTCCCGGGGCGGTAAAGTCGCTTTGATCTTCCTTTAAGGTGGTCGATTCTGCCGCCCGCGCGCCGCCTCTGTGATCGATATATTACAACATTACGGGCGTTCCATGCCTTTTGCCCTGGGACTTAAGGGAAGTTTTATGACGTTTAACAACGGAAAGCCGCGTGAAAGGGGCAGGAATGTTAAGGGAGATTTGTTAGCTTCGTTGGCGGTAGAACGGTTGGGTGACAAATGGAATGGCAAGAATGGAGCGCGTTTTGTCGTAAAACAAGTTTGATGATGATTGTTTTGTGTTTTGCGTTTTATGAGTCGGCCGAGTGTATGTTGCAACAGTTGTAGATATGCTCTAGTTCGTAATAAGTGGAGATCCTTTGGCGGTATTTATATTGGGTTGATTTGAAGCGATAATTGATTTCTGAAGAAGAAAATAAGCATCAAGCCAGTAAAAAAGTTGGAATAGATTTGCCCAAATTTAACGAAACGACATTTTCCCGAACAGACTTGCTTACACGATTCCATACGAATTCAAATCGTGTACTTTAAATAAACATAGTGGCCAGTAAACCTGCTTGATCAGGAGCAGTAAACAATTAAAAATTGACCAATAGACTAGTGGAAAATATTGTTTTTCCGTCTAAATCGCAAACATGAATTGAAAAGTTGCAACCGATAATTAATGTCAGTTAATGTCAGGGATCTTCACATTAAAGCAAACCCCACACGCATCAATATATTGACGCGGAGGGGAATTATTGACAATAATATTGATGATGTGAATTCAGAAATATTGTCAATCTCCATGTATTGACGTCAATATATAATGTATTGACGATACGATTATTGTCAATAAAAGGAATCGTGTAGGGTCCACTTAACATTTTGTTTTCGTGTTCGGTAAATTTTTCCGAAATCAGAACAGCTGAACGTTCGGTAAAACTTTGACCTTCATTTTAAATGCTATTAAATTTGAAAATAGTATCAAAACATGTTCAACCTTGTTGTCATTTTAGTGGAGATTAAGTTTCAAAGTAGCTGAAAAGTTCAGCTGTTAAGATTTCGGTAAAAATTACCGAAGTCGGCAATAATTTATAAGTGTGCTTATTACAGTCTACAATCGAAGGGTCATCGAAGCCCTTACTACTAAACTTCAGAGAGGCTTGGATGTCCTGTCTGAGTATTTCAGCAACTGGAAGATCCGTATCAACGCGGCGAAGACCAGGGTCATAATATTTCCACATTCCCAATCACCAAGACTTGCTCCCCTTGAAAATAATAAGATCTACTTGAACGGTTCAGTGGTGCAATGGTGCAAAGAGGTTGTGCACCTCAGAATAACCCTAGACAGCAAGCTTCTTTTCAGAGAGCACATTGATAAACCTAACACCAAGTGCAACATCTTGATAAGATCACTATATCCGCTTATCAATAGGAAGTCCACCTTATCCCTGAAAAAAAGCTTGCTGTCTATAGAATATTAATTCTACTTGTTAATGAGTATGGTATGCCAATCTGGGAGAGTTGTTCCAAATGCCATCACCAGAACAAGATCCTTAAGCTGACATCACACTGTTTGACAAAACGTCAAATATTTGCTTCGTTAACTTTTGCCAAATAATGCAATTTGGCAAAGTTTTTTGTCAATGCTATTACACTATGATAACATTTCGCAAATATTTGAGCAAACATTATTTGGCCAAACATGAAATAAGGTGTTTTGACCAACGGTCAACAAATATATTTGACATGCCATCACATTGTTTGCAACTGTTTGCATTTATATATTAAGTTGTCTCTTTGTCATTCGTTCGCAGCTAAAGTCTGATTGTTGTTTTGTTGCTGTGAAGTTGAAATCGAAGAAAAAATAATTAGGATGAATTATTCTGAGTTTGCTACAGCTATGGGAGCAGCATAAAGGGTGATACGGTCAAAATTTGGTCAATATCAACTTGACGTATTTCTTTCAATTTTGCATTTAAAAAACCTGAACACCCCTCATTTTGAAGGTGTGTGTGTGTAGAATGTTGCTCCTATTTTGATTTTGGAATTCACTCTTCAGTTGTCAAAATGCCGTCCATGCAAGAAGAGCAGCGTATCAAAATTTTGCTCGAGCATCGCGAAAATCCGAGCTACTCGCACGCAAAGTTGGCAAAATCGCTAAAAGTTGCCAAATCAACCGTTACAAATGTAATTAAAGTGTTTGGGGAACGTTTGTCGACAGCCAGGAAGTCTGGATCGGGGGGAAATCGAAAACCGGAAGCCGCTGAGACGACAAAGAGAGTTGCCGGTAGTTTCAAGCGAAACCCTAACCTCTCTCTCCGAGATGCCGCAAATAAGCTGGGTGTATCGTCTACAACCGTGCATCGAGCCAAAAAACGAGCCGGACTATCGACTTACAAGAAGGTAGTGACTCCAAATCGCTATGATAAACAAAATACGACGGCCAAAGCGCGATCCCGGAGGCTGTACACGACGATGCTGACGAAGTTTGACTGCGTGGTAATGGACGACGAAACCTACGTCAAAGCCGACTACAAGCAGCTTCCGGGACAGGAGTTTTATACGGCAAAAGGAAGGGGAAAGGTAGCAGATGTTTTCAAGCACATGAAACTGTCAAAGTTCGCAAAGAAATATCTGGTTTGGCAAGCCATCTGTACCTGTGGCTTGAAAAGCAGCATTTTCATAGCTTCCGGGACTGTCAACCAAGAAATTTACGTGAAAGAGTGTTTGAATAAACGTCTGCTGCCTTTCCTGAAGAAACACGGTTGTTCCGTACTGTTTTGGCCGGATTTGGCATCTTGCCATTACGGTAAAAAGGCCATGGAGTGGTACGCCGCCAACAACGTGCAGGTGGTTCCCAAGGACAAGAACCCTCCCAACACGCCAGAGCTCCGCCCAATTGAGAAATACTGGGCTATTGTCAAGCGGAACCTAAAGAAGACCAAAAAAACTGCTAAGGGCGAACAGCAGTTCAAGGCAAACTGGCTTTCTGCGGCGAAGAAGGTGGACAAGGTGGCTGTACAAAATCTGATGGCAGGGGTCAAGCGTAAGGCCCGGCAATTCGGATTTGGAAAAGCGGAAGCCTAACTGAATATTTTTCCTGAATTTTATACTAATTGAACTTGAAAAAGAAATTCAATTTGATTTTTTAAATAAACGATTTCACCGATTTACACGCGTTTTCCCTTGACCAAATTTTGACCGTATCACCCTTTATATGCGGAAAGCGATTACAGCCGGAGAAAGGCTGGCTCTGACTTTGCTTCATGTCGCTCCAGTACCTTTTTCGCATCTCACAGACAACTATCATAAACATCATACCCAAAGTCCTGGATGCCATCTATCTGGTTTTGAAGCAGAATTTCTTAAAGGTAGGTCGTATTAGAAGGGTTTTCCAAAAAGTAGTGAAAATTTTTAAATAAAGAATCCCGCCCCATATTTTGATAGCTTGAATACCATCCGGAAATCATTCTGTTTACTGTAGTTGCTGTGGCAATACACCTATAAAAATCTAAATTAAAATGCCTTCAATATTGCGTATCAAGATCAAAAATAACTTGCTTGGTTGTGGAGTAATATCTTCTTAAAGATAACATATCAAAAAATCTCAAAAATCCAGGGTTGTCACCCAGATGGATCCAGGCACTTACGAGCAAAACCAAAACAGTCGTTTATTCAGAATGTCAAAATAAGCGTTTTGGCAAAGTTTGGTTAAAATCGGTGACCTTGACCACAGGTGGTGTATACACTTGAGCTGGAATAACCAACATGTATACTAGCGCCACGTAGTGAAAAAAATCTGAACTACTGTACACCAACAAAAAGATCTTAACTTCCTGAACAACTTTGCCGAAGACAGTCACTTTCAATCTGGTCAGGATCTAGAGATATTTTATAAGCGAGATATTCACATGTATACTAGCGCCACGAAGTTAAGCAAATTCTGAACTACTGAGCACCAACGAAAAGATCTTAACTTCCTGAACATTGAAGTAATGAAATTGGGTTGTTAGCGGAATGTTTAAATAAAACAGCAAAAAAGATTATCTTCCATTTAATTCCACTTAATTAATTTAATTTTAATTTTATTCCTGAACAACTTTGTCTTAGACAGTAACTTTCTATCTGGTCAGGATCTAGATATATGTTATACGCGAGATATTCACATGTATACTAGCGCCACGAAGTGAGAAAATTCTGGATTACTGTACACCAACGGAAAGATCTTAACTTTTTGAACAACTTTGTCTTGGACAGTCACTTTCAATCTGGTCAGGATCTAGAGATATTTTATAAGCGAGATATTCACATGTATACTAGCGCCACGAAGGGGGAAAACTCTAAACTACTGTCCACCAGCGAAAAGATCTTGACTTCCTCAATAACTTATAACCATTGCTATAACCATGCGGCTTATAACCGGCTGCGATCAAGGTTAAAG